TATTTAATCTAATTTATTTCCATTCTCATCTACCTACTTAATTTATTTATTCATTTATTCACTTATTCACTTATTATACTATCTATTACTAACTATGTAATCACTTTTGTGTGTGTTTGGATGTGTCTGATTCTGTCCCATGTGTTAGCTGAAGACACATTTTGGCATACACCTGTGATAGGTGTGGCTGACTAACAACGGGTGTTGTTGGAACATTGTTACACTAAGATTTATTTATTTATTTATTTATTTATATATCTATTTATTTATATACTTATTCATTGATTTACCTATTTAATCTTTATGTCATAATTGTATATTGAAAATATGTAAACTATAATAGAAAAACATGTATTTATCTTAATACAGCTATAGAGATACAATTTTATTTTAATTTTAATTTTAATTTTAATTTTAATATACATACTTATTTATTTAGATATTTAGGATATACATAATTAATATAGTATTTTAATGATAATATATCTACACTTGGGATATATATATTATGGATATTTGCACTTGAAGATATATCGGCTATATAATTTACTTGCGCACTAAATAGTATATGTATACATTTATGAAGATTTACATTCACATAATTTTACATAATAATTTATTTACATAGAGTATTTATATATTATATATTATCATATATTTGTAATATGAATATGATGATTATTTATTGGCACGAGGTATTTTCATACCGGTATTACGGGTTTTAGTGTTATTAAGAGGTAATATTGGTCGGAAACGTTGCAAATAAGCATCCAAGCTACGTGCTATAAAGCGAGGAATCAATTCGTAGTTTTGGTTGGGGTCCCATTCCAAACCCATTGACACATATATCGTCTTATACAGTTGCATTTGTTCGGATGGTTGTAATTTAGATGAATATGGTAGTTCTACAGGATGTGTTGATATCAGGTGATTATATTTTACTGAATGTTGGTGCATTGGTGATCGTGTGTCTTTTAATACATCTTCTATTATTTCACGTGGTATGCCTTTGCCCGTGCATAAGAATCCTATATCACAAGTTTTACAAGTGGTTAATAATATCCTATGTTTTGAAGATAGATGCTTAGTTGGTCCTATTGACCGAAGTGACATATGTAATAAGGTAAATAATGTATCTGAACGACAAAATGTAGGAGATCCTACAGATAAATCTTTTAAAGATGAGCGTAAGAAGAATGAAATTTCTTCACAACTAAAAACAATACTTTTATTATATTGTTTAGGTTTAGGAGTAATGTGTGTCAAATATGGATATGAAGGTTCTGAATGTAATTCGTATGGTTTTATAAATTGTTTTAATAGATGCATACGAGCTGGGGTAGAATGCTGTATATAAGGTGAAGATATACAAGGATAACCCAATATTATGGCTTTTAATGTATGGATTATTAGTAATAAAGGATAGCTATTTTGTAACAACTGATCCACACATTCTGTAATATCTCTTTGTAGGTATTCTACGCTTGTACGATATACTATTCGTTTCAAATAGTAAGAGAGTGTGGCTTTCTTTATATGATGAGGTACGTGTGAAGTATAATGACAGGTTCTATTAGATAATTTAGGCTTTTTATAAAGAGCTAGTTTGAAGGAATCTTCTGTATGTATTATTCTATAATCTAAATAGCTTATGCAAGGATGATTATGATATAGTGGATGAGGGGTTTCCACTTCATATGTCAGTTTATAACCTATAAGTTTAGATAGGGCAGTGCAATAAGAATCTACATTTGTACGTGGAAGGTAGACTAGAACATCGTCTACATACTTCCACCAAGCATGTACACGGTAGGTGGTCATTATGGTTTTGGCATACAATTCTAACTTTGAATCTATATATATTGTTGCTAACAGTCCTGAGGCACTACCTCCTTGAGGTAAACCTTCTATTTGCTGATAAAGTTTACCATTAAAGGTAAAATAATTACCGTGAAGTAAAATAAATTGTATTGATTGTTCCAATAAAGATATTGGAATTGGACATTTTTCCAAAAACCAGGAGAGTTGCATTATATTATTTAATGTCTGTAATAAGGGTAATATTTGAGTGCTAGGATACATCTCCTTTATATCAATAGATATTAACACATAATTTGATATAGGACGTAACCCTAAGATATGACCAGTTAGATGGTTTATATTATACACATTATGTGAAGACAAACGATCTTCTATTGTATATTTCAGTAGGCATTGAACTAATTTATGGATAGGTGAGATGTACCATCCAAGGGGACTACATATTGGACGTATAGAAGCATCGTCCTTATGAGTTTTAATTGTACCATATAAATATGGTAAGGTTGGGATACCTGATAGCAATTTTTGGATTTCTTGATATATTTCCTTTGAATATAAGGTATTATTCTTCTCATATAACCTGCATAAGGGTCTAGCTACTTTTCTAAAATAACCTCCTATGCGACGAGATAATATTCCAGGGTCTTCACATACCTCTACACATGAACCTGTACCAATATAAGAGGATATCCAATTGGTCATTTTCTCTATATAATCTGAACGATACATTAATACCGTAGATTTGCACTTATCAGATTGCACGATAAGTGTATCTTTATGCTTTTTTAGATAATTTGCAGCATACTCATATAATTGTTTTAAAGATTGTTGAACTGAAGTTAAATTCTGTTCTTTTTCAATTATATTCAATACTTGAGTATAATGAGCTTCCATTTCTAATGGATTGCATAGATTAAGATTTATAAAAGAATCTAAATGGGCCTCATAATAGTTTTTCACTACATTGTAATAATCATATATTACTGGTACCCGTATAGGGCAATATTTAGGTCCGAAACTTAATATGGTTTCAACCTCAAGTGGCACATAATATGTAGTCATATTTGTAAAACCACCAGGTACTATTTTAGGATACAATTGTATATTGTATTCGGTAAGAGGCATTATGCCAGCATACAAATTAGGTTTAGGTGAATTTTTATTTGACTCAATAAAAGGTTCCAATATGTTTAGTGGAAAGTTGGAGTTGGTTGGCGGCATAGGATCATTTGCTTGGGCTTGGGCATTGTTCGTGTTTTTTGATGTAGGTAAAATAGATACTTTGTTTTTTACCACATTTGTTGAGGGTAGTATTGGAGGGTTTGTGGGTTTTGATACCTGCTCCTCTATAGTATCGAATAAGTTTGAAAGTGTAGTTGAATTATCTATAGGTAATCATAAAATTAAAGGTTTTAATAATGTCAAAGGAAATAATAATACATATTAAATATTTCTAGGTTATTACATACTTGAACTGTTGGGTTTCATTATTTGTGTCCGGCTTGTTAATTTTGTTGTAGATTCATTCAATATTCTGGATTGCACATCAATTGCGATGTTTGGTTTTTGGCGTTTAGGTGAAGGTAAAGACGTATTTGGCCTTGTGGCATTTATGGGATGATAGGAAGTTAATGTTGTATCAGGTAACTCAAACATTGATGAATCGGAATCTATATTAAATAATTGTAAATTATTTATTATTAATCATGGCAGGTTTATTTAGTTTATTTATTATAATATCTCCATCATTTATTATATAAATATACAATTATATAAATATACAATTATATAAATATTTATTATATAAATATACAATTATATAAATATACAATTATATAAATATATATTGTCAATTTTTGGTTATATAAATCTTCAGAAGGATATAAAGATAGTATACGTAAAGTATAGAAGATAATAGGAATAATATAATAATCAATGATATATGTTTTTAACGGTTATATAAAAGGGTTAATTTTTGAATTATTCCTTTGGAATTGTAACATTAGCATGCATCACAAATATTAATGCATATTTGAGATTTATAGGAGGAATATACATGAAGCGATTCAAATGAATAAATGGATATGTTAAGATATTCAATATGGTTTATTTATACTCACCATATATTGTGATTATATCATCTTCTTTATCTTCTTTATTTTGATGATGAGAGGAATCTGGTATATGCCTTTTATGAGATGATGTTTCTTGATGATTAATTAGATGACTATGTATAATTGCCTTGGATGAAGTAGGATCATTAATTTGGTTGATATCCATCATTGATTTATGTCTATAAAGACACATTATAATAGCATGAGATTTAAACATTTAAAGGAAATATTCAAGTGTATTACGTTTTTTAAGCATGAAGGATTGACACATAGATAATTGTTTAATCTTGAATTAATCAGAAATTTATTAATTATATATTACTATACACTCATTTGTAATGAGTAATTTATCATGAAATGAACTTAAATACCAAGGTTTTTAAACATTTTTATTTTATTTTATTTTATTTTATTTTATTCTATATTACATGAAATGTTGCGATCCTAGCGTTTTAGTTGCACACAATGTGCAGAAGTTTTGTTTTGTTGTTTTTTTTGGTATTTGGAAGCATACATAGTGAATTTTTACAATTTGCATTATATTTCTTTTACTTTTGCCTATTTGTATTTCGGTATCCGGAAATAACGGCGGTTACAGTATGTTCTCTTGCTTGCATACGTGTTTAACTAGGTCGGTGCCAACCAGTGTGCATATGCACATGTATCACCCCGCCCAACCTTGTTAGAGTTTGTATTTCCCAATCAAATTTAAAGTCCACTACGCATATAATAAGAAATCATAATAAGAAGTTTTGACAGCTGAGATTGTATTTTTATACATTTGTATTTTCATATATATATGCATGTAATGAGATATTTGAAGATCAATATATATATAAGGGAGATTTGATTTGAGATTTAATATAAGACATTAATAAGAGGCATTAGCAGTTATGTTTTATACATTTGTGTTTTGTACATTTGTGTTTTCTCACATAAATATAAAGATCACTATGCATACAAAAAGAGATTTTAGCATGAGCTCTTAATAGAAATTAGTAATAAGAAGTAATTACAGTTGTGTTTGTATCTTCATACGTTTGTATTTCCTCACATAAATTAAAGATCACTATGCATGTAAAAAGAGATTTTAACATGAGCTCTTGATAGATATTAGTAATAAGAAGTATTAACAGTTGTGTTTGTATTTTTCATACGTTTGTATTTTTCACATTAATTTAAGATCACTATGCATAAAAGAGATTTTAGCATGAGCTCTTAATAAGAATTAGTAATATGAAGTATTAATAGTTGTGTTTGTATTTTCATACGTTTGCATTTTCATACATATGGAAACGGAAAAGAGATAATTAAAAATCACTATGCATATATAAAAGAAATCTTAGCAAGAGATCTTATAAAAAGAGATATTAATAAGTAGTTTTAATAGTTGTGGTTTGTACTTTCATACAATTGCAATCTCATATATATATGCATGTTAAATGAGACAATAACAATTAAAAATAATAAAATATAAAAAAGAGATTTTAAAAGAGATATTAATAAGTAATTTTAACAGTTGTGTTTTGTATTCTCATACATTTGTACTCCCATGCATGTGTAGTTTCACGCATATTGCCTGATCATTATGTGGGTAATAAAGAGTCGCTGGCAGGTTCGGGCTGGGGGGGGTGTGGTTGTAATGTATTTATTGATGGTTACATACTACTTGCAAGAGATTTGATTTTGTTTGGGCTACGAATGTAATACAAGTGCAGATTCTGTGTTTGTGGGGTTCTTGATGGCAATTTGTTAGTGCTATAGTTGGAATATAGATATAAATGGAAGAAGTTATACTTACAATTGTGATGTGTATTGGTGTCTGTCTTGTGTGCTGATGTTGTGCTTGCAGTCTCTGGCTAAGTCTTGGTGCTTGAAGGTTGTATTGCTCCGGATGCGGTAGTAATTATAATATTTTTCGAATAGTAATATTTTCGAATATGATATTTGTTCCTGGTGATGATTTGGATTGCATATGCGTTGATTTTGTGCGTTCGTTTATGGTTTGTATACCAATATGTACAAGCGCGCAATTAATTTTATGAATGCGTAATTTAATGAGAATTGGTTTCGCGGTACATAATGGGATGGAAATATGATACATGAATTAGCATGCAGTGACTATGCAACATGGATTTTGTAGTAATTAAGGTTGGAACTGTGTTTGTAAATATAATGACTATGCAACATGGACTTTACATTAATAAAGGTGGAACAGTGTTTGCAAATATTTCAATCATATACATGTCTTGATTTGTAATAAAGTGAGTTGTTAGGATAATATACTAGATTTTGGTATAAGGTGGATGACAATATGTTGGCGGCGATATGCATACGTCTGGATTGTGTTATTACAGTGTTGGTTGGGGGAATGGCTATATAATAATTGGCGGTGCAAATAGCAGTGTTCGCAAAGCAAAGGGTGCAAATAGTAGTGTTCGCAAAGCAAAGAGAGATAACAATAATGGAACGTTGATGTCTCAAATCAGTTGGAAGGCAATAGTGCAATAATATAAGTGGCAAAATGATGGCAATATTTACACAATAATGGAATGTTTATATTTGAGATAAAATTGGAATTTTTCTTGATAAAAATTGATGTTTTGTGCTGATGGGATGAGGTATATGCGTGTATGCGCGGGTTTGCAGAGTTGAGTGTGTGGAAATACATGTAAGTATATTTAGTTAATTTTATATTTATTTGTATTCCCTATTTTATTTTGTTAGTTTGTTGTTCAATTGCCTTTCAATTTATATTTGTTAGTTTATTGTTCAATAGTTTTCAATCTCACTAGTTTGGTAATATATGTAAGTATATTTAGTTAATTTTAATTTTATTTTATATTTTATATTTATTTGTATTCCTTATTTTGTTAGTTGGTTGTTCAGTTGCTTTTCTATTTATACTTGTTAGTTTTGTTCAATTGTTTTCAATTCATTTGTTTGGTTTTATATTTTATTTATTTAATTTAATGATTATTTTCAATGCTTTATTATATTAGTTTGTTTTTCAATTTCAAGTGTTTAATGGTTTTATTATATTAGTCTAATTTTCAATTGTTTTCAATTTTCAAGTTTTAATGTTTTCATGTTTTTAATGCTTTTATTATATTAGTTTTTAATTTTTCTAATTGTTTTCAATTTTCAAGTTTTAATGCCTATATTATATTGGTTAGTTTTCAATGACTTTATATTGCTATATTCTCTCATGTTATATATTATAAGTAGGTATTTACCCTATAACTAGTTAGCGTATATTAACATATGAGAGGTGTACATAGGACGGGCACATGATACTTACGTCAGATTTTATGCCACTCTGAAGAGTCTGGGTAGTTCCCAGACGAAACGCGTCAGTGGAAACTAACGGTGGACTGTGACCTTTGCTCCAGTAAGAGGTAGCTATGTCCTGAACGGACGTTACTGATGATCCTTATATTATGTTTAATTTTAATTTTATGTCTATTTTATTTTATTTTTTATATTTTATTTTTATTTTTTTATTTTTTATTTTTATTTTTATTTTTTATTTTTTATTTTTATTTTTATTTTTATTTTTATTGTAATTTTATTGTATTCTTATATCTTCTCTGTCTCTTATTTAATTACTATTAATTTTGTACGTTTACATGTTATATTTCTGTACTTATACATATTTTTATATTTGTATTCCTTTGTTTATATATAGTTTTATACATTATTTATTCTTACATCTCCTCTGTCTCTAATTAATTTTATCCTTATTTTATTTTATTTTATTTTTATTTTATTTTTATTTTTATTCTTATATCTTTTATATTTCTAATTTATTTTACTCTTATATCTTCTCCGTTTCTTATTTATTATTTTAGTTCTTATATATTTGGTTATACCTTATGTGTGACATTATACAATTATAGGGGTAGGTTATGCCATCAAAAAGGATAATTTTTAATTTAGAGATAGTGTAGGACAGAGCTAAATCCCAGTGGCTAGCCATCATTGATACCGGTAGCTTGTCATTGTACATGATACTGTGGGCATGGGCATACATCTAGCTTAGCTGGATGTATGGGCATGATTGTGACAATCCTCTGGTCTGTTTGGACGACTATAGGTTTGGACACAAAAGCGTCAATATTCTTATTGTGTAAATGTTGTAATATTGAATGAAATATATTTAAATTATTTCAGATAGATGTATGATGTTTATGTGCATGTAGTTAGACATGGTCTGGTGCGATGTGATTAGTTATATATTGCATTATATACTGAGTATCTACGATATACGGTCCTAGTTAATCATGTATTTCTCTTACTATTATTATCATGATATATTAATTTATTCATATACTATAGGTTTTAAGTATCATATTATAGATGTTTATAGGTATATCGTACATTGAATGATATATAGTTATTTTAATTATTTTAATTATTTTAATTATTTTAATTATATGTATGATCTCAAATATGTTATAACCACACGAATTCGTGTGGAGATATATTATAATGTAATTGGTTATATATTACATTTTATATGTTAAGTATTTACACCATGCAGTTTTGTCTCCTTTAGCTTAGGATATAATTTTATTACTCTGGTATTGTTTGATGTCATATGCTGACATTTGAGTATATGATGTCAAATATGCTGAAGACTTAGTGGTACTGCACATGTATGTATATATATTTATATATGTATATGTGTGGGAACGTATATATCAATGTGATATATATTAAAACTACTATGTAATTGTCAATTACATACGACTTGAAATGCAATACTACATGTGTGTGTATGTGACATATATGTATAGTTTGTGCATCGAAAGATGTGTGTATGACGACCTTATTGAAATGTATTCGTAAAACCATCGAATTTGTGATTTTCAATAAGTTTCTAAAAACTCTAATATTTTGCATATTTTAACATGTGCGCTCGAATTTGCGATTTTCAGTAAGTTTCTCAAACTCTTAATATTTTGCATATTTTAACATGTGCGATCGGAAAACCATCGAATTAGTGATTTTCAGTAAATTTCAAAAACTAAAATTTTACACATTTTAACATGTACGATCGTAAAACCATCGAATTTGTGATTTTCAGTAAGTTCCTAAAAACTCTAATATTTTGCGTATTTTAACATGTGCGATCGAATTTGCGATTTTCAGTAAGTTTCTCAAAACTCTTATATTTTGCATATTTTAACATGTGCGATGGTAAAACCATCGAATTTGTGATTTTCAATAAGTTTCTCAAAACTCTAATATTTTGCATATTTTAACATGTGCGATCGTAAAACCATCGAATTTGTGATTTTCAATAAGTTTCTCAAAACTCTAATATTTTGCATATTTTAACATGTGCGATCGTATAACCATCGAATTTGTGATTTTCAGTAAGTTTCTCAAAACTCTTATATTTTGCATATTTTAACATGTACGATCGTAAAACCATCGAATTTGTGATTTTCAATAAGTTTCTCAAAACTCCTATATTTTGCATATTTTAACATGTACGATCGTAAAACCACCGAATTTGTGATTTTCAACAAGTTTCTCAAAACTCTAGTATGTTGCACATTTTAACATGTACGATCGTAAAACCATGGAATATGTGACTTTAAGCAAGTTTCTCATAACTCTTATATTTTGCATATTTTAACATGTACGATCGTAAAACCATCGAATTTGTGATTTTCAGTAGGTTTCTCAAAACTCTTATATTTTGCATATTTTAACATGTGCGATCGTAAAACCATCAAATTTGTGATTTTCAATAAGTTTCTCAAAACTATTATATTTTGCATATTTTAACATGTACGATCGTAAAACCATCGAATTTCCGATTTTCAGTAAGTTTCTCAAAACTCTTATATTTTACACATTTTAACATGTACGATCGTAAAACCACCGAATTTGTGATTTTCAACAAGTTTCTCAAAACTATTATATTTTGCATATTTTAACATGTGCGATCGTAAAACCATCGAATTTGTGATTTTCAGTAAGATTCTCAAAACTCTTATATTTTGCATATTTTAACATGTACGATCGTGAAACCATCGAATTTGTGATTTTCAATAAGTTTCTCAAAACTCTTATATTTTGCATATTTTAACATGTGCGATCGTAAAACCATCGAATTTGTGATTTTCAATAAGTTTCTCAAAACTCTTATATTTTGCATATTTTAACATGTACGATCGTAAAACCATCGAATTTGTGATTTTCAATAAGTTTCTCAAAACTCTAATATTTTGCATATTTTAACATGCGCGATCGTAAACCCATCGAATTTGTGATTTTCAATAAGTTTCTCAAAACTCTAATATTTTGCGTATTTTAACATGTGCGATCGAATTTGTGATTTTCAGTAAGTGTCTAAAAACTAATATTTTGCGTATTTTAACATGTGCGATCGAATTTGCGATTTTCAGTAAGTTTCTCAAAACTCTAATATTTTGCATATTTTAACATGCTATAGAGATACAATTTTATTTTAATTTTAATTTTAATTTTAATTTTAATATACATACTTATTTATTTAGATATTTAGGATATACATAATTAATATAGTATTTTAATGATAATATATCTACACTTGGGATATATATATTATGGATATTTGCACTTGAAGATATATCGGCTATATAATTTACTTGCGCACTAAATAGTATATGTATACATTTATGAAGATTTACATTCACATAATTTTACATAATAATTTATTTACATAGAGTATTTATATATTATATATTATCATATATTTGTAATATGAATATGATGATTATTTATTGGCACGAGGTATTTTCATACCGGTATTACGGGTTTTAGTGTTATTAAGAGGTAATATTGGTCGGAAACGTTGCAAATAAGCATCCAAGCTACGTGCTATAAAGCGAGGAATCAATTCGTAGTTTTGGTTGGGGTCCCATTCCAAACCCATTGACACATATATCGTCTTATACAGTTGCATTTGTTCGGATGGTTGTAATTTAGATGAA